ATATATTGGGGAGTGGTGGCGCAGAGGTTAGAGAGGTGGGCCTGTGATCCGAAGATCGCCGGTTCACGCCCCGGCCCCGACAACATCAAAATTGTGGGTGGGGTAGGTGACACACCCACACTTGCCCCCACCCTCATTCGCCCCACTCTGGGCCCATGAGCAAGGCCCTTAACCCCCACCATGTGCTCCCTAAACAGGTCTCGCTTGAAAATGAGTTCTCGTGGCTCAATGAGACTACCTGGATAAATAAAGGCTAAATGAAAAAAAAAAAAAATATATATATATATATATATATATGTATGGTCGTTTTACATATATATGTAAACCGACCACCCCAGTCACTGGAGGAATCTATGATTCCTAGATTTTATTTTGATTAAATGTATACTTCAAAATGATTACAGCGAATGGTTGTATGGCCGAAGATTATTCTATGGGGGACAAGGCCACCTTTGGCCACCCCCTGACTCCGCCATTGATCCAGTTGTAGATAAAATTTCTCCCTTCACTCGCCTGGATTCATCACTTTGCGCTGCAAGCAAAACAAACAAACAAACAAACAAACCATAAACCTACTTCTGTTACCCTATTCTCACACTTGAATAACTTTCAACAAAAAACATTAAGGTTTACTTACATGCCCTGCTCAAAAAAACACTCATGTCGAACCATTTACAATTCAAATCCCTTGGCGACGGGATTTATTGTTGTGTTTTATAGGGTCACATGGCTGTGGCAGCCATCTTGGATTGGGTTGCCTCCAAAAAGTCAAGTTGTAGATGTAAATATAATGACTACTTTGTGCAAGTTTCATTAAAACAGTGGCTAACAAACACACATGCATTCATATCTGTCTGTCATATCTGTCATACCTGTCTAAATAAAGGTTGAATGAATATTAAGGCAAAAACATTACATTTCAGTTTTGGTTTTATTGGTGGTGGGTGGTAACAAGTAAAAACTAATCGTTTTGTTGTTTGTTTTTTAGCAAACTTGCAACAGTGACCTGTCCTTTTGCAAGTCCAGAAGTCCTTCTGTCTCACGACTAGTACCATGTAAGTCTTTAATTCATCACTAACTACCAATAACAAACAGATGCACAATGTTTTTTTTTCCATCATTAGTGACATTTGTATGAATTTGATTTGATTTCAAATGTCTTCTCCTGATCTTTTCAAAGCACCACTGTTTCCTGGCAGCTGTAACGGTGGGCTGTTGTTAGAACAAATGAAAGCCCGGTGTGAACTCATCGAGTCCAACTTCACCCAAACTGTGACCAGGATGAAGATAGACAGAGAACAGACTGTGAAGGAGAAGGACAAGTACGCCCTGGAGACCATTCACCTCAGGAGAGAAAAGTCCATCCAGGAGAAGGAGCTGGAGCTCTACAAGCAGAAAGCAAAAGACGAGTTTTCCCAGATCTTGAGCTCTGTCTCCTCTGTCTCCAAGGCCTTACTGGAAAAAATCAACTCTCTCTTCCCTCGACACATCGTTTTCCAGCTCACCTGCCCCAAGCAGAGGGAACACCTGGAGCAGATCCAAAGCAACTGCACCAGCCTGTCCCGGGAGGTGGAGGACAAGCTCCAGCGCTACCTAAACAGCGTCGGAGACCAAGTGTCCAACATGCAGGTGGAGAACAACCACCTGAAGGCTGAGAACTGGCGCCTGTCCAATGACTACCGCGAGTGCAGCCAAAATCGCACAGCCATTATTGAGCAGCACAAGCAGAGCGGCAGTGAGCTGCAGCAGAAACACGACCAGGAGAAGGAGAGGCTCCTCGTGGACAAGATGAAGCTGAATGGAGAGATAGAAGTTCTGCAGAGAAGCATCAAATACAAATCATCAGAGGCGGACTACCTTACCGAACAGATGAAGCAGCTAAACATTAACTGCATGATGAAGGTACACCAAACAATTCATGAAAGATTTATTAAAAACAATCCTGTGGTTCATATGATATTTTGCTAACAACGTTTACTCCAAATAGTTACTAGCATTATTTTAAACATAGATCTTTAGGGACAAAACGGTGGCTCAGTTGGTAGAGTTGCTGGCTCTCAATGAAAAGGTTGCTGGATCAAATCCTGGTCGGGAGCCTGGGTGGAGTTTGTAATGTGTTCTCTCAATACTGCGTGGGCTTTCTCCAGGTACTCCGGTTTCCTCCCACAGACCAAAAACATGCATGTTAGACTGATTGGTAACTCTAAATTGTCCCTAGGTGTGAATGAGAGGGTGAATGGTTGTTTGTCTCTATGTGTCCCTGTGATGGACTGGAGACCTGTCCAGGGTGTCCCTCACCTCACACACAGTGACTGATGGACATGGGCACCAGTGACCCATACAACCCAAAAAGGAAGAAGTGGGTACAGATGATGGATGAATGGATGGATGGATGGATGGATGGATGGATGGATGGATGGATGGATGGATGGATGGATGGGTGGATGGATGGCTGGATGGATGGATGGATGGATGGGTGGATGATGGATGAATGCATGGATGAATGGATGGATGGGTGGATGGATGAAT